ATAGCAAAGAAAGAAATTGAGGAAGACCTCAGAAGATGGAAAGACCCTCCACATTCTTGAAGAAGCAGAATTAATATATCAAAATGGCCATACTATCAAAAGTGCTTTACAGATTCAATGCAATTCTCATCAAAATTCCAATGACATTCCTCATATAAATAAAAAAAAAAAAGCAGTCATGAAACTGATCTGGAAAATTAAGAGGCCCAGAGTAGCCAAAGCAATCCTTAGTGAGGAAAAGCAAAGCAGGTGGCATCACAGTACTAGACCTTAAATTATAGTATAGAGCTATAGTAACAAAACAGTATGACATTGGTACCAAAACAGATAAGACGACCAATGGAACAGAATAGAAGACACAGAGACAAACCCACAAGAATACAGTTACCTCAAACTTGATAAAGGTGCCAAAAACATATATTGGGRAAAAAAATAGCCTCTTCAAAAAACGGTGCTGGTAAAACTAGAAATTCCTACATAAATGAAATTTAACCCCTATCTCTCACCCTGCACAAAACTCAACTCAAAGTAGATCAAAGACCTAGGAATTAGACCAGAARCCCTGTACCTACTAGAAGAAAATGTAGGCCCACACTCCAACATGTCAGCYCAGGAACTGACTTTCTTAACAATACTCCTAAAGTGCAAGAAGTAAAATCAATAATCAATAAATGGGATGATATCAAAATAGAAAGCTTCTCCACAGCAAAGGAAACAATCAAGAGTGTGAAGAGAGAGCCTACAGAATGAGAGAAAATCTTTGCCACCTGTACCTCAGATAGGGTATTAATTTCCAGATATACAAAGAACTCAAAAAGCTCAAACTAAAACAACCAAATAACCCAATCAATAAATGGGCAAAGTACTAAACAGATACTTCCAAAAGAAGAAATACAGATGGTCAATAAATACATGAAAAAATGTTCAACATCTCTAGAAATTGGAGAAATGCATATTAAAACTACGCTAAGATTCTATCTCATTCCAATCAGAATGGCAATAATCAAGAATACAAGTAACAATAAATATTGGCAAGGATGTGGGGAAAAAGGTACACTCACACATTGAGTGAGACTGCAAATTGGTACAACCACTCTGGAAAGCAGTATGGAGATTCCTCAAAACCTAGGAATAGAACCACCATTTGACYCATTTATCTCATACCTGGTTTAAATCCAAAAGATTTAAAATCAGCATATTACAGTGATTGTTTATATCAATGTTTATAGCAGCACAATTCACAATACTAAGCTATGGAACCAACCTAGATGCTCTTCAACAGATAATGGACAAAGAAAATGTGGTGTAAATACACAATGGAGTATTACTCAGTTATAAAGAAGAATGACTTTATGACATTTCTAAGTAAATGGATGGACCTGGAGACAACTATTCTAAGTAAAATAAACCAGTCCCAAAAAACCAAAGGTTGAATGTTTTTGCTGATATGTGTATATTAACCACAATAAGGGGGAAGAGGAGAAAACAGAAGTTCAGTAGATAAGGTAAAGAGGGAGAAAGGGAAGAGAGGGGATAAAAGGAAAGACAGTGCAATAAATCCAAAACAAATTTCCTRTGTACTTATATGAATACACCATTATCAATCCCACCATCATGTACATCACACATGTACATCCTAACTAGAATAAGATATATTTCACGCTTGTATAATTATATCAAAATGAATTCTATTGTCATGTATAACTAAAAAGAACCAATAAAAATTTTACTATGTAATGCCCCTGAGTGTCTTGTAATTTTTTCACATTAAATCTATTTTGTGTGAAATTAGTACAGTCATTCCAGCAATCTTTTGAATGGAATATCCTTTTTCATTCTTTCATTATAAATCTATTTGTGTCTCTAGTTCTAATGTGAATCTGTTGCAAACAGAATATCATTGGATCTTTTTTATTCCATTCTGCCTATTGATTGAAACATTTAATGCTTGCAATTTAAGTAATTAACAATACTTCTTCCATACAGGGTTTTTTTTTACCTTTAGTAGATTTTTGTTTTTCAATGACACTTTTATTCTCATTTTCTTTCTTTCTTTCTTTTTTTTTTTTTTTTGTAGTGAGGATTGAACTCAGGCACTCAACTACTGAGTCACATCCCCAGCCCTATTCTGTATTTTATTTTGAGACAGGGTCTCACTGAGTTGTTTAGCATTTAACTTTTACTGAGGCTAGCTCTAACTGGCAATCCTCCTGTCTCCACCTCCCAAGCCACTTAGATTACAGGCCTGCCCTGCCTGGCTTAGTCTCATTTTCTTTCTTTTTTAAAAAAATATTTATTTTTTAGTTGCAGTTAGACACAATACCTTTATTTATTTATTCATTTATTTTTATGTGGTGCTGAGGATCAAACCAAGGGCCTCACACGTCATGCTAGGCAGGCACTCTACCACTGAGCCACAACCCCAGCCCCTCATTTTCTTTTGACTATTGTACAGGGATTATTCCTTGTCCTTCAGTATCAAAAATTCCTAATCATATGTAGACATGTAACAAACAGTAAATAAATTTTAAAGTTTTACTTTAATTTTGTGTCTTCTAAAACTAACATTTCTATCATCTTAGTTGTCTTTCCCTCAATAAATAATTCACAATTATTCGAATATAATCCACTTAGTCATACGGCTCCACAAAGTGGGATGCACCTGTCCGCTTATCTTTCATTTCTGTTTCCCCCAAATGATGGCTAGATATTCTTAAGGATTGTTCTGAAAAGACCTTTAGACTAATTCTTCTCCCCACCCCACCCCCAGCCCTTTTTATATTTTATTTTGAGACAAGTTCTTGCTAAGTTGCTTAGGGCCTAAGTTGCTGAGGCTGACTTGAACTTCTGGTCCTCCTGCTCAGCCTCCTASGCTGCTGGGATTATAGGCATGCACCACCATGCTCTGACCTTTAGACTAATCTTCAGAGCTCTTCTGTTCCGTGGAGTTTTTCCATCTATTTCTTCCCCTTATTTATTGTATCTAAGCTAATTTCCTAGCTATCACTATAACACATTATGTCCAACCTCATCCTTTTTTTGTCAAATTGTTATCTTCTGGAGAATTCTGTTTATGACTTTGCAAAAGCTTAAACAAACCTTCTTGCTGGTTCTTTTTACTGAAACACATTCTATTATGTTATTCTAATATATCAGTTTGGTCATTTACTTTACTGATTATTTTGTGTCATGCACTAGACAAAGCATTAGCCAAAAAAAAAAAAAAAAAAGAAAGAAAGAAAATATATATTTTATGGGGGGGGGGGCACCAGGGATTGAATTCAGGGGCACTCAACCACTGAGCCACATCCTCAGCCCAATTTTGTATTTTATTAGAGACAGAGCCTCACTGAGTTGCTTAGGTTGGCTTTGAACTTGTGATCCTCCTATCTCAGAATCCAGAGCCACSGGGATTACATGTGTGTGCCACCACACCCTAAAACTAACATACCTGGCTGAAATATACATTTTTGTTAAAAAATCAGAAAACCTCCTAGTAGAGAGAGGAGATTTCAGTGAGAAAACAAAAACAAAACAAAATAAAATTATCTCTAGTGTTTCAGAGTTTGATTTTTAAGTCATGCAGACCTGGATCCAATTCTTAAATCTATCCCATAATAGCTGTATGATGTAAAAGTCAAGATTTCCTTATTTGTAAAACAAGGGATAATAGCCATTCCATCTTTTCATTGATAGGAGATAAAACAAAGACCTTGGCAATATATGAGATACAATCTATAATTGTGTAGAATGTTGAATGATTAGGAAGGATCTAATCTGGGAGAAGCAGTAAGTTATGATATGATCTTATATGTAAGATCAACTGCCTGTTGCCCTCCCCTTTTTTTTAAACAACAGGAAGGAAGACACAAATATGGATAACTCTGAAAGTCATGTTTCAAAAAGAATGATCTATTAGTAGTGAGTAAACTATTGCAAAATTCCACATAAGAGAAGGTGACAGATGGTTTTAGGTAGTGGCAATGAGAAAAGAATGAAAGGACATTTCAGAGAACTCAGAGTACTTGATTAGAGGTACTTGAAATACAGTATTTGGCAAGACTTAACTGTCACCTAGCCATGCATCCATTAACAATAACAACAGTAGCAAAAACACTGCTTTACACATGTCGGACAATATTCTAAATATTTTACAGAGATTAACTCATTTCACTCTCACAACACTCTGAGTATATTCTATAACCATTCCCATTTTACAGAGGAGTATATTCTATAACCATTCCTATTTTACAGAGGAGAAATTAAGGCTTGCATCAGTTACAAAGCTAGTAAGAGGCTAGATAAAAGATTTGGCCTTAGGTAGTGTAATCCTAAATCTAAAACTCCTAATGGAAAAATTAAACCGCCTTATAGAAAAGGCAACCAACTTCAAAAAAGGCAGTTGTAGTCATGTCAAAAGCACAGCGAATAAAGTGTCACGGAAAAGAGGTAAGTGAGCATCTGGCTATATCTGAACCACATGAGGTGTTCAGTTTAAAAGACAAAAAACAAAATCCATACTGAATCCAATACTCCGAAGATGGGGCCTAGGAAATAGCGTTTTGGTTTTTCTAAATGAAAGAGCAAAAAATTAAAAACCCTGAACAATTCTGGAGTAATACCAAGTTTGGATGTTTTTGCAAAAAAGTAACCGGTCCCTCAGAAACAGGGATCGAGCAGACAAAGGTAGGAAGGGGATGGTATCCGCGATATGCTGGCTTAGAAACAGGACTTTTCTCGTTTTGTCTAGCACCGTTAGCTGACAGAATCCCTTCCTGGCTGTGAACGCATGTGGTAAACCGACTGGATTATGAAGCCGAGTCCTCAGACCCGTTATCTGAGGATGCCAAGATTTTTCCTACGTGCCTGAAAGCTTACAGGAAACTTCAAGGTTAGGGCCTGCCTGCTCCGAGGCCAGGTAAACCCGGGTTAGCAAAACAAATGTCTGCTCTGCAATTACACCCTCAAGTCCCCTGCTCCGAGTCAAGTCCCGCACATACCTGAGGGTCCTCTCGTAAGATTGATCTCTTCCTCAGTGACCAAATAATCCACCCTTCCGTTCATGTTCCACTGCTCGCCTGGCTTCCTCCTCRGGTCAGCTGGCGCTCTGCACAGGTGAAGGTGAATCGGTCTGGCGCGGTGTCCCAGGCACAGTCCTTTCGGTTTCCGAAGCCTGCAGACCGGAAGAAGCCGCTGCCGGGCCGAGGGCGCAGGGAACGCAGGGAATTGTGGCTCTCGCGTTATCTCGCCGCGAGGGTTCGCGTTATTTYACCGCCTTTTCCCAGCGAGCCTCAAGGTGGGTCCCAGCCCCAACGACCCCGGCGTGAGTCTGACAGCAGATGGGAAGATGGGAGCGGAGGCAGGCTTGTACTGGTGGGGGACTTAAATAAATGGATTTTGTCGAGGAAATTTTTAAAATTAAATTTCCTGCCATCTCAGGAAATCACAAATGTAGAAAAATGTAGAAAGGAAGGGGTTTTATTAATCTATAAGTATCCGTCCAAACTAGGATGAACATCACAAATGATCTATTAATGAGATTGCAAAAGAGGACAGAAATCATACCTTTTATGTAGCCAAGCAGATGCAATCCATTACGTGCATGTTCTCCTGTAAGAGGGCACCGTTTGCCACTCCTTCTTTGGTCGTTCACCCTTGGGGTGGCTGGCCTTGTTAATTGTTTGCCTTTACCCAAAGGAAAAACAAAACTATCTCCATCCCCCCCTCCCCCTCACCGCCCCTCCCCGCTCCCCTCCCCCCTGCTTCCCCCCCACTTCCCCCCCTTCACCCCCATCCCTGCTTTCCCCCCACCTTCCTCTCCCCCTCCCCCGGCTCCCCCTCTCCTCTCCACTCGCTCTCCCCCCTCCCTTTTGACAAGAAGATTCTTAGATCTTGGCACAAGCCACTTTGGATAACTTCCTTGGTGACAGGAGATGGAGGACCATCTTTCTTGATATTGACGTTTCAAAGTTGTGTCCCAGAACCTTAAGAAAAAGATCCCATGTTTGTATCTGACAGAAGCTTATTAACTTTTATATAGAGAGAGAGACACAGAGGAAGTAATGTAATTACAGATTTTTTCCCCCCAAGAAAATCCTCAAAGTAAAGGAAGAAGGAAAAATATCTCATCCTTTTATCCTTTTGACAGTAGGGAAAGCTTCAATCATTTTTCTTCTTTTTAATCCTTATAGTAAAATTAGTGCACTCCCTAGCTATAACTTTTTAGCTCAGCTTTTTTTTTCTTTTTGGAGCGGATATTCCATACTGAGTTTGAAGGAACTTTCAGGGCTTAAGAGCCAGGAAAGTAAGTTTGTCTATCTGTCTGATTGTCTCTCTCTCTCTGAGGATGGCCTTAGGCCTGAGCCTAAGCAACTTCATTTTTTAAACTCCAGTTTGAAACCTGCAGTCTCACCAGGCACATCCAACAGATCCCTCCGGTATGGCCTCAAGCAAGTTACTTCCCCTCACCCTGATAAACAGAGTGAAGCCTCTGGGAGGCTGGATGTTTCTGACCCTAGGATAAATGATGTCAAGGAGAAATCCAGAGGTAGCTGATAAAGATTGAAAGGGTGGGGGTCAAAAGGCCCAAAATTTAGTATAAATAATAGAGCTGATGAACAGGAATTCAGCCAGCCGAAACAAGGATGCAATCAAGCCAGAGAGCCTGATGAGGACCTGACATCCYGTCACTTGTCATTGTTTCCTGATCCTCTTTCCATCCTCACTGCTCTCAAACTCTACAACCTCATCTGGACCATGGTGAGAGCCACAACTCCTCCTTACGACCCCCTCCTCAACTGGTTGTCCACTCCACACCAGAAAAAGCCTGCCTTGGTTCACTCAGACATGATCACCATGGTCTGAGTGAGTGTGCATCTGCTGGACTTAAAGCCTAAGGCTAAAGATTTTTGAACTTAGCATGCAGAGGGAATGTCTGACATTAGCCTGTCATGATTAAGTGTGTTTGCAGTGCTTAGAGTTAATCTAGAATTCTTTGCTGTGAATTGATTATGTCTATTGCAGCACCTAGTATTAAGGATTGTCCTTTTCTTAAGAACCTATAGAGTGAAATTGTATTGAGCAATTTGAGTGAATAAAGCATTGAAAGGGGCAGAAGCATGTAGACATTCTTTATTTCTCTCCTTGACTAATATGTTGCACTTTTGCCCCCTTGCAACACGCACACACACATACACACATACACACGTGTACATATATATGAGGTTGTTACTGGCTGCCAAGCCAAGGGACCTGCCTGCCATCTGTCCATGTAAGGAAAAAACAAAAATGAATTTTATGCAGTTTTATCAAACTGGGGAGAAACAGCAAGATTTTTTTCTCTGCTGGTTGTTAAACCATGTCACAAAGAAAAGACCACCGACTCCAGTTGAAATCAAATTAAAGCAAGCTTGTAATTCCTACTGGCTAGGGCTGTCTATCCCAAAACCCATGGGAACAAGACAGCCCCACAGCTTTCTAGGAGCGCAGCTTTAAAGCACAGAAAGTTGCAAAAAGGGGYGAGGGTGTCTTAAGAACTTACAGATTACAGGATTTTGACAAGCATAACACAAAGGTAGGTAGTAGGTTAATGGTCCAGCACATAGGGAGTAAAYTTAGATCCCAACATCAGAATTTATGAGGCACCACTAGAATTTCAGAGAGGGTCGTTATCTGGCCAGGGAAAGCCAGGCATGGGTGAGTTCAAAGCATGGGCAGGCATTTCAAGCAAGTTTAGAGATCGCAGTAATTTATACTAAAGCTGAAATCAACTTTTCATGCTTTTGTGATGAAATGGCTCTCAATCTTAAGAGGGAATTAGGCTGGGTTTATCATGGTCCCACAAAAGCAGTTACAATTTATGGAAACAAAAGCCAGGTGATATACATATGTAGATTTAGCTGGGCTGTGCTAGCCAGAGAACATTCCAGTTTTAGCTTCCTTGAAACTGCAGCTAAGTCAAGAAATAGTTTTTATTCTTTGTTTTATTCTTTGTTTCAAGGTGACCACAGGGGTTAGAGGGAACATTGGAAGATTGACAAATGTAGGCCCAATAAAAAGGCATTTAAATGTAGATGTAAAAACCAAACTAGCAGCTGCTATGTGTACCAAACAAATAAGACAGACTCAGAAGGGCCCTTATTTGCTCACCTTGAAAGAAGTTAACATGGTAGTGGAAAGAACACAGAAGATGATGCCAAGAATACTTGTCAAGTTCAGTTCCATCTGTTAGCAGTTGTCTGGGCTTGACCAAGTAACCTAACATCTCAAAACTCTGTTCATTCCTCTTTATGAGGGAGCTCTTTCGAGGTTATCACAATGAATCAATGAAGTGAAACTTTCAAAATTACATTTGTACTTAAAATTCAGACTTTCGCTACCCTCATTTCCAGCCCTCTTCCACATATGTTGGTTGAATAAAGCAATCATTATAAAAGGCAGCCCCCAAAAAAAAAAAAAAAAGTGAAAAAACTAAGATAAGAATAAATGACATTGGAATGCCAAGAGAAAAGAGATCAAGTATAAATGGAAAAAGAAATTGAAGATGAGAAGATTTGAAAGGAGAAAACCCATAATGGGAGGTGGTTGAGGAGATCATCACCCTGTACCTGGGAGGAATGCCCTGATCTGAGCGCACAGCTTCAAAGGAAATACATGGGCAGTGAAAAAAAAAAGTAATTAAATAAGTTCAAGAGATGCTAGTAATAGGTATAGGGACAGGTGGGAGATATTAATTGCCTAATGAAAGTATAGTTTTTGTTTGCAGTACTGGGGATTGAACCCAGGAGCACTCTACCACTAAGCTATAGCAACAGCCCTTTTTATTTATTTATTTTAAAAATATTTGTACGTTGCAGGTGGACACACAATATATTTATTTTTATGTGGTGCTGAGGATCAAACCCAGTGCCAGGCAAGCACTTTACCACTGAGCTATAGCCCCAGCCCTTTATTTTTATTTTGAGACAATTTCTCACTAAGTTGCCCAGACTGGGCTCCAACTTGCCATCTTCCTGCCTCAGCCTCCCAACTAGCTGGGATTACAGGTGTGTGCCACCATCCCTGGAATGGAAGTGTAGAATGAAGCAGCCTAATATATAGAGAGACAGAAAATGAGAAATAGGAGCTCCCACTCAGAGAAAACAATTGAGACAAATTATGGGATCATGATAGGGATGGAATTATAGAGGCAATAAAGAATAAATCAAATAAACAGAATTTTGTGATCTTTCTGAAAGAATTTAAAAGGCTTTATTAACATCCAACTTCATATCATCCACTATAATGTAAGGAGAAATGTTGKGAAGATTCAGAGTGGATGATGGAGGAAAGATATTTTAGACATTTTTTAGAGCCAGGCATTTTAAAGCTATTCAGAGGATATTACTGAGATCTTTAGAACTTAGTCTTGCCCCTCTCACGGAAGCTAAACTGCTTGATGTTTGGACAGTGTAGCATGAAGCACTTTTCCATAAAGTCTCTGAGCACTTAGATGGTTTTATTGTTAGCTGAGCTTAATTTGCATTTGCCACCAAACCAAGGCAGTTTCTTTCTTAWTAAACTCAATATTTATGTGATGTATATTACCATATACTCAAAATAGGATAAAACGCCTATGTGGTATGTTAAGATCAGTACCAAGATTCATGATATGGGGCTTGGGGATATAGCTCAGTAGTGGAATGCTTGCCTTGCATAAATGAAGCCCTAGGTTCAATCCCCAGCCACACACACACACACTATGTGACATTGATGACACATGTAACAAGTATGCAAGTATGCCACTAGTAGTCCTGGGAATGGCCATCATTCCAGGGACATCATGGGAGGTATATGAAAGGCCCAAGAGCTCCAGGACAGCTGGGACTGACAAACATATAGCTTGAGGAAATTCAATATCCTGCATATGGTGAAGAAATTTTATGTGGTGATCTAAATGCAGCATCTCTAGTAGGGGGTTCAAGGGATGACTGACTATCAGCAATAGGAAAGTCTAAGTGAGTGAAGTCTGTTTTGGTCATCATTGTATTTTACGTTAAAACTACTGACCTTGGGCACTTGGCTGCAAAGCTGGTGCTTGGAAGTGTGGAGTTATGAACATGGTAGCTGCCACTGTAGCCATCATGGGACAATAAGCTGGGATCTACCCTACCTATAGAGTAACTGTGGAAGACCATACCAAAATAGAG